AAACATACTAAAGAAAAGTTTCTTCTCCATGATTAAAAAAGTTAACCAGCTTCCAAAATTCTCAGGTCTCACAGCAAGATGGGATGAAATCACCGTGAACGCTTGAGGAGTAAAGAGACACAAACTTATCACTCAGGTTCACTAGACGGCAAGGAGAATTCATTGGGATCAGATACTTTGGTGGGTTCAGCAAGAGAGATCTGTGCTTGGAAGCAGCCTTCCGCACACATGGCTCCTGAAGAAGCGGAGCTGGATGCGTATCCACATCAGCATTATGGAAATTATCCAGCCCATGGAAGTATCTGGATGCATCTCTGAAGGAGGATTGGTTGAGGCAGCCATTGCTATGTGTCAGGTCAGGACCATTTTGTACAGAAAATAAGACTGCCAGAGGAAGTTAAAACCCCTTGCTTTAATATCTATTTATAAATTATAAAGAAGTTTCTCTATACATCATGTTTAGGATGTAGCTAAGCTTGTTAGTAATGTCCTGCTCTAGGGATGGGAGAGAATTTTGATCCAGTTTGTGTGTAAAGGCAAACCTACCTAATTTGCAGTTTCTGAAACAAATTGAAGCCCAGCCATCCTTCGAAATTCTAACTTCTAATTTTGCAATGCAGTTCTCCAGCCAAATAAGGTATGCAAAAATGCATATACTTGGGTAAAATGTGCATTAAAATGCACATATTGGTGAAAATAATATACATAAAAATGCATTGAGCTAGGTAGAATCGCATACAAAAGTGCAGATATTAGGAGAAATCTGCACTAAAATGTTATTGAATTTTCATGAGAACTTCCAAAAAAGGTCACAAACTGATGTGAAAATGTGGATAACCGAACTTAAGATTGGAAATATTAGAAACTGAGAGAAATAAAAATTGACAGATTTGCCCATCCCTACCCAGGTGTGTCCCCAGTTTAAGGTTATGTCGTATTGTGAAAATGGGATGCCTTTTAATGATGAGCTACCTGATAGGTTGCTTGAAAAAAAATGGGTCCTTTAGCTGGAGAGTGGAGACCACAGCTCAGCGATGGAGTACAGGTGTTGTGTGCAGATGGGTCTAAGTTTAACTCTGGCGTAATAAGGTTATCAGAGAAGAGGACTGGGAAAGATCTCCTTGACAATCGACTGCTAGTGAATGTAGAATGTATGGGGCTAAATGGATGGTGCCTTAACTCAGTACAGTGGTACCTCTGGTTGTGAACGGGATCCGTTCCGGAGGCCCGTTTGCAACATGAAAAGAACGCAACCTGCAACAGCACGTCTGCGCATGTGCGGGTTGCGACTCGCCACTTCTGCGCATGCGCGTGACATCATTTTGTGCATCTGCGCATGGGCGAGTGGCAAAACCTGGAAGTAACCCTTTCCGGTACTTCCGGGTCGCCGCAGAATTTAACCTGAAACAATGTAACATGAAGTGGACGTAACATGAGGTATGACTGTATATGGCAGCTTCCTGTGCTTATATGGCATGTCTCAGGAAGCAATGAAAAATAATTGGCAATATTTTATGACAGTTGCCTTATTAGTGGCATCCAGAATCTAAAAGTTTGTAGCAGTGGAAAAAATAACCAGTTGCAGGCAGTCAAGAATTATCAGCAATGGGCCCAAATGGGAAGATGAGAGAAGATTCTGACATCAGGATGGAAATGATTGGAGCTCTTGATTGTCAGGATTCAGTTCTTCACACTGCAATCTTGCATACAATTTCTTGGAACTAAATCCCAAGCAAGTCCATGGAAATGTTAAAAGTTGGAGTGGATTAGTCCTTTGTCATGAAATATTGATGCCACAGAACTTCATTCCTCAGCTTGTTGCGAGATCTTGCTTTAGTGAGGCTGTAAAAATTCTGTGTAAAACAAGTGCAAGACATAAGCTTATGTACTGGAAACAGCTATCAGAGCCGCACAACCAAATTAATAAAATAACTTAAAATGTACTTTGTGTCAGGGACCCATCTGTGCTATTCCGCTGAAAAGGAGAGACTTCCTGTAGCAAAGCAGTGAAACCAAAAATTCTGCAGCTGTCATGTTGAAACGAGCTTTGTTTTCCCATGAAGGTTTGCCCTCAAAATAAAGAGAATTTGTAATACTGATAAAGTTTCCACATCAGCTTCATTCACCAAACATGAAGTAGCAGCAATACAGAGCGCACTGCCAAATGATTCCCATTTTGTTTTGCCCTTCCTGTCTACCAGCTCCATCTGGTATGCAGGCTGAGACCCTACCTGCCCGCGGACTGTCTCACCAGAGTGGTGCATGCTCTGGTTACTGGTATCTCCTGCTTGGACTACTGCAATGCGCTCTACGTGGGGCTACCTTTGAAGGTGACTTGAAAACTACAACTAATCCAGAATGCAGCAGCTAGACTGGTGACTGGGAGTGGCCGCCGAGACCACATAACACCAGTCCTGAGAGATCTGCATTGGCTCCCAGTACATTTCCGAGCACAATTCAAAGTGTTGGTACTGACTTTTAAAGCCCTAAACAGCCTCAGCCCTGTATACCTGAAGAAGTATCTCCACCCCCATCATTCAGCCTGGCCACTGAGGTCTACTTCTGAGGGTCTTCTGGCAGTTCCCTCACTGCGAGAAGTGAAGTCACAGGGCAGAAGGCCTTCTTTTTCGGTAGCACCCTCCCAGTGGAATGCCGTACCATCAGATGTCAAGGAGATGAAGAACCACACAATTTTTAGAAGACGTCTGAAGGCAGCCCTGTATCAGGAAGTTTTTAACGTTTGACGTTTGACTATGTTATTATATTCTGCTGGAAGCCGCCCAGGGTGGCTGGGGAAACCCAGCCAGATGGGCAGGGTATAAATTATAATAATTATAATAATTAATAATTATAATTATAATAATAGAGGCAGGAACAACAAATTGTGAGCCTTGACTTGCCATGATGGGCAAACCAGCACTTGTGGTTTATTTCTTCCAAACAAACAGCAATGAGGAAAGCTTGCAACAATTGGAGCTATTTAGTTTAGAGGGAAAGTTTTCCTCCCTCTCATAATACTTCAACGTGGGGTATCCAGTGAAGCTGAAGAGTGGGAGATTAGGGCAGATAAAGCAAGCACATCTTCACACAGTGATGCCCCTGACCCTAACTTAGATGGCTTTCGAAGGGGGCGAGATGTTCTCAAGGAGGGTAGGGCTATCAATGGCTACTGGTCATGGTGGCTGTGTGCCAGAAGCAGAGGCAGCAGGCCTCTGAAAATCAGCAACTAGGAATAACAGTGGGAGAAAGCTAATGCCCTCATGTCCCACTGATGTGGGCTTCGAAGTGGACTGTATGAGAAGTAGCGGAAGCTCCCTAAACGCAATAGATGTGGTAGACAGTGCTTTTTTTCTGGGGGTATGCAGGGGTATGCATACCCCTAAACATTTTGTGAATCTTTCTGCTTTTGTCCATTTACTGTATTTATTTTTCCCAATTGGAACTATAAAATGGTGATTTTCTTGAGTTGAAATGAGAGTACCCCTAGACATTTTTTAAGAAAAAAACAAAACACTGGTGGTAGAAATGAACAGACTAGGACTCATCCATACATCCCTGCAGTTTACAGTGGTACCTCGGATTACATACACTTCAGGTTATATACGCTTCAGGTTACAGACTCCGCTAACCCAGAAATAGTACCTCAGGTTAAGAACTTTGTTTCAGGATGAGAACAGAAATCGTGCAGCGGCAGTGGGAGGCCCCATTAGATAAAGTGGTGCTTCAGGTTAAGAACAGTTTCAGGTTAAGAACGGACCTCCAGAACGAATTAAGTACTTAACCCAAGATACCACTGTATTCTGTTTGTCCCATGATTTCTAGGCACGGGCCCAAGAGGTTTTTCTTTTGTCCCGCCATGTTCCCCAAGAAAACCCGTGGTTTACTGCTAATTGAAACAAACGTCATTCCACAGTTAACCTGGTTGATGTTTGTTCCTGGTCAAAGCGACAGGGCAAAAGAAAAACCTCTCAAACCAACAGATATGTGCTATACAGGTAGATGAGCATCTTTGATTTTGCTTATGCAACCACTTGGCCACTAGGTGTCAGCGAAGTTCCAAAATTAAAGGAAGTCTAGTCTCTCCATATGTCACCTTACCTTTCTAAGGAGAAACTCACCCATGATGTTACCAACAATTGCCTGCTGAGTGAATCCATGGAAACAAGCTTCCAGCTGTTTTTATTTGTAGGCCTTAGCACATTATTCCACCATCCTTAAATTTCCTCACTGGTTGTTGTCGTTATAACTTTATTTATGTGTCATATTATACCCAAAGGCCTAAACACAACTTACATAGTAAAGAAATAAATATTAAAAATATACAACAATAAATAAAATTGAACACACTCAAAAATTCCTGCAAGTACACATTTCTCACCATCAAATTATCACCAGGAATCCCTTTAAAAAACCAAGCAGCTCAAAACCATCCATGGAATGAGTGAAAGATAGATAACAATATTAAAATACTTGGGTGCATTAAAGTGTCTTAGCCTGGCCCCACAAAATATGTCCAACTTAGCTCCAGATTCACCTGTGGGGTAAATTTGGAGGACAACTTGAGGCAATAATCACATGTCCCTTGTAGATATCCGAAAATATGTTTTAACCCTTTCCAAGCCACTTCAGTAGGATTTCTTACAAGCCTACTCAATATTCCAACAGAATAACTGATATCTGGCCTACTCCATTGAGAAATATACATCAGACTTCCAACAGTAGAATGATACAATTCAGAATCTATTTGCTTTGAACGTTTCTCCTCAGGAAAGCATCAGGAATGCACAGTTATGAAGGTGTCTGGAGGAGCCCAGAGCCAAGAACAACCCTGCGTCCTTTCCCTTCTTCCATATATCTGGCTGCTCACAAACAGGCCAACACCTTCCTGTTTTTATAACAGCAGCCGCAAGTTTTACTTAGCCTCCCTTTACATCTTCGTTGCCCCGCATCCCACCCACCCAGAAGCCAGAGGGCTTTCCTGGCTTGTTCTATCAAGTGCCGTATCTTCCATCCAATTGTGCTGTGAAAATCCATAGAGAAGGACAATGCAGTTTGCTACTTAAGTCCAGAAGGTAGGCAAATTCCAAGACGAGATTGGAAATTTACACGGAAAGAACAAGAAGTAAACGTTTCCCATGCTTAAGGCAATTCCTGGCTTGTAGGAATCGCCAGAAGTCTTGCCTGTTTTGTGCTCGCCTGCTGGCACATGTGTTTGCAATTGGGTGTGCATGCGGAAAGCAAAAATCAGTTTATCCACCTTCCATTCATTGCCTACTTGATTGCATAGTTTATTGCCCCATCCTTTCCCATACCATCAGATGTACAAGGCTGGAGGGGTCATCACAAGCCTGTTTGGTCACAGCAGTTATTGCACTTCTTGTTCCTGTGAAATATGGCAAGGAATTCCACGAATGTGTCCATCATATGGAAACTGTCCCTACTGAAGTGAGAGCATTGCATCTCAAATTAGGCCATCTACATTGGGGAGAGCTTCAGATAACAGAAATATGGAAGAGGCCTGGGTATCATGTTGCAGAAAGAATCTTCTAAGAACATCAAAAAAACAGGATAGCTATCAATAAAGCAGCCTGTTTTTAGTATCACAATGCATTGTTTTGATTGCATAAAAGCACATTTCAGTGGTCTCTGCTAATTGCTGGAGATTAAATGTGCCCCTCTTTTTGTATTCCAGGGAATTATTGCAGGTTTTAACCCACCCATCCCAAATTTTGCAGATATCTATGCAGGAGCAGACTCCTTATTAACCAGGAGCCAAGTCACAAGCCACATATTTTGTTTAGGTGAATTATAGGTGAACAACCAGAGCTACTTCCTCCAGTCGATCTAGCTAATAGTTGAGCCTTAGGCTTGGCAAGACTCTCTTCAGATAATCAGCTGATTGCTGGTGCTTGCAAGTCTGCCGACCAACAGGACTTCAAAGCATCCTGCAAATGTCTTCCTGGTTCAATCACAACTTTACTTACCTGTGCCCACCCCATTCAGACGTCAGGTGTAGGGCAAGTTGTGTGGCTTTGCTCAGATGTCCTAGCAAGCCAAATATTTCCTCATTTCTTTGATTTATAGCCTGCCCTTTGCTCGGAGGAGTCCAAGGCAGGAATGGGGAGGCCTGACTCGGCCCACCGCCCAGAGTTTCTCCACCTCTGCCTCAGAAAGCCCAAAGAAGGAAAGTTTGCAAGGACAAATGTGACCGCTTCCAGCACTGCAGATTATCTGGGCCATGCGATTGATGCTAATGTTCTTTGCAAGACAGCAGGAAAGGTCAAAGCCATAATGGATATCTCTGATAGTGTATAAATCAGACGAGTTCTTCTATTACAGATGACTCATTCCTCTTCTGGCTACAGTCCTAAAGCTTCTCCGTGATTTTGTAAGTCAAGGAATATCCTGAACAAGGAAAAGCTTTCTGAAAGTCATGTACCTGGAACTAGTGCCTTGGAAAAATCTCTGCTGGTAGTTTTTCATTACATATTTGTTCTTTGAGTTGCGGGGAGCATGACCTAGAAAACAGCTGCTGTGCACTTATTCCTGGTGGTAGGAGACCTCCCTGTTGGCAGATTTTCATGCCAAGTGTCATTCCATTTGCCTTGCAATGCTGTCCCTCTCCCAGAAACCAGAACCCCCAGCTACCAAGAGACTGACATACTATTGGGCTGTGGTTTCCATTGGGGCAATAACTTTATGTGTAAAATGGAGAATGGACTTAAGCACTCACAGAAGCTTGAGCCCTTTATGAGTAAGGCTTGCAAAAGAATTCAAAGGAGCTGAAGGAGCTGCCGCTGACACCCAGCTCTACTGTCTCCACCTGCCCCTGCCCTAGCCTAATCCTGAACAGTTTCCTGTAGAGCTCTGGGAAGCAGGGATGGAGTGGAGCAGAGGCAGGCTGTGTTGTGAGCCCTGATGTGATTGAGCTTGTGCTGGCAGGCTCCAATGCGATAGGAGGAAGAAATGGAAGTGGTGGGAACCTGTTGGAGGAGTGGGGCTCTCTGCTTTCCAACCTGACTTCTATCACTTTGGAAGGGGAAGCAGGGATACTGGCTCCCCCATGACCTTCCTCTGGAACAGAGAACCTCATTGGAGGCTGAGGAGGGCTTTGATCAGCTATGAGCAGGGGAGCCTGAACAGGAGTCTGAACAATGGAATGCCTTTGCAGATGGAGCATGCACTTTCAATCTAGACATTCTCTTAAGGCCACACCTCATCTTTCAAAGCTGGTCGAAGGGGTGGTGAAACTTGTTGGGACAGCCTCATAACTTTTGTCCAGTTCTAAGCTGTCTGCCCTGCCCCTCAACTCTTGATCCATGACTCCTCGGCACTGTATCTGCTGCCGAGCCTGTACCTTCACTTTCCTGAACAAGGATCTCTTCCTTACTTACAAGTAAGAGCCTCTGTCTGCGTGTGTTGGGCAGAAGCCAGTACAGGCAGGAACAAAGCGCCACCACTTTTTTCAGAACAGATGAAGGACTATAATGTCATCTGCCGGTGTGCTATTTTCTGATCCACTGCATGCCAAATAAGCCAAGTGGAGGAAGAGGCAGGTTTAAACACATAGCAAAGGTTTAGAGTGCCACTTTTATCTGGACAGCTTTCAGCATTTTTAGTGCATCCAAAACGTCACAGAATAGTGAGTAAAGTTTCGAACTCACTAGAACTTTTCATCTGGCTGTATGTTAAGCAATATGGGAGGCAGGAGGTGAGCACTGGGAGAGGGGGAGCGGGCTTAATATCAAAGTCATAATCTGTTGAAAATTTGGATGCAACACAGGTTACACAAAAGCAAATTGAGCTGCACCCAATCTTCCAACACCCCTTCAATTCTTGAGCACCTGGATAGCTCACTATTCACAGGATGCAACCTAAGGTTCACAGGATAGAGAGGTCACCATAGAGGTGCAAGGTACAGGCATAGTATACAAATCTGGAAGTCCTTTATTCTGTCTCTTTTAACCCCATATGAATGGCTTTCTGCAAGCTGAGTTGCACCCAAACTTCCAATGTAAACTCTGCATTGGTCAAAAATCATTTTTATTCAATAGCCGTAGAAGGGCCATGCCTTCTATGGGATGTCCATTCAACACTCTGCAATCCCGTAGCCAATGTTTGTTTGGGTTCACGTGTCCCTTTGCAGCCACCAGAGAGCGCTCTGTTCTCACACATATCATTGGCAGCCTTAAGCCAGGAGTAGAGTTGAATGGCCAAATTTCCGAGTGTGTCTGTTTGTCTGTGTATCCCTCTCTCTCCCAGCCCTGCATATACACGCCTCAGACGAACTCTGCTCTTGGAAAGTTTTCTTAAGTCTCTGGAAGTCCTGGCAGACAAACAGCTTGTGAGCCAAAGAAGGAGCATGACTCTCCCCGCCACCATCCTGCCAGCAATCTGCAAAGCTGTCTTTGACCTTAATGTATCACTGTCTGGTACCAAGCAGGGATACCCACCCACTCTCACCTGCCCACAAAGGGATCATGGGGAGCCATGTCCTTAAAGATTAAGATGCATTGTTTTCACTGTGCTGTAGAGAAGCAAACCTCTCTCTGGGAGGGCTGGAAACAAGTTGAAACGGAGCCATGGCTCAGATCCTTGAACCTACTGTGTCCTTTTTCCATTGAGAGGAACATACTTGTGCCCCTTCCAGCCTGGCTTTTCATTCCCTCCTTTAAGCTGTAGGGAACTTTCCCCATCTTCCCCCGAAGGCCTGCTGGTTATCACAGGCTCTGAGGAGGAACAGGGAAGAAATTGATTCAGTTCACAGTTAAAGGGGATTCTCTCAAACCCACATCTTCTGAAACAATATGAGCACCAAAACACAGCCATTTATTTTTAAAACGCATGAAAATTAACCCACATTTTAGTGTGGATTTAGTGTGAATATTTCCTAATAAACACATTTTTGAATGCAGTTTTGACAAATGTACATGTTTTTGCAAGTAATGTCCCCTAATGTGGGGGGGGGGGAGCATTGTGTTTTGCAACTGAAGAGGGATGTGTCAGTTGGTAGAACACGAGTCCCTTAATCTCAGGGTTGTGGGTTCAGGCCCCACATTGGGCAAGAGATTCCTGCATTGTCGGTGGAAGAAGATTGGAAAAAGTTTAAAGTCTACTTACAGAAATACTGTAAAATTAATGAATGTTAGAATGATGTTGGATAAGAAGTTAAGTGGTTTTTTAGCTATAATGCTATAAAGGAATATGAAAAAATGGATTATTAACAGGTAAAAACTTAATGTTATAATACTTTAAGATTAAAGACTAGGACAAACAAAGAGAGAAAGGATTTGCTGAACTAACAAATTGAACTGGAATACAAAAAAGGGAGGTGTGAGGAGGTCCGGGAAACAAGCAAATGAAAGATAAGTAATGGAAAGATGGAATTGTTTTTAACTATTTTTATTTTGTATTTTATTTTTTATTTTTTCATTTTGTAATATTTTGAAAATCTTAATAAATATCTTTTTTTAAAAAAGATTCCTGCATTGCAGGGGGTTGGACTAGATGATCCCCGTGGTCCCTCCCAACTCTATACAATTCTATGGTTGTTCAAAATTCACACTTACTCGAATTTTGCAATGCAGTTTTCCAACCAAACCATGAATTTATCTGAATCCCATTGAGGATTATTTTATGTATCTCTAAAAGAAAAGGTTTTGTGGATTTTAGCTGTTTTATTGATAATTTTATCATGCATATGGCTTAGAAGGGCTTGTGCTTAAAAGAAGGGGAGGAAAGTCATTCAAAACCAGGCACCTCATGAGCATCATAGAGCTGTAGAGTTGGAAGAGATCATGAGGGTCTTAGAGTTCAAAAACAGGAAGGAGGGATACTTCCTGTTTTCTGAGCCTCTCTAGGGGCTCCTGCAGACATCCTTTTTTTGGTGTATTTGTTATGATTTGTGCTCATGATACAAAGGATTTGAGGCTCTGTTTCCAATTGGTCCATGTCCCATAACTTCCTACCGGAATCCTGCCACCACAAAGTTTCTGGCAGGGGGTTAGTGTTGTGCTTTCGTTGCACCATGGCTCAAGAGTGCCCCATCAGACAGCAAAAAGGTGGGGGAGCATCACAGAACGAATAAAGCAGAATGACATGTGGATGGTCCAATATAAGATCACTACCAGTGCACTGTTATTGCTTCAATGGCATGTTGCAGAATACAACCACAGAAAGACCTGGTATGGAGAGAACCTTAGACCAAGTCAAACTGTGCCCATCTAGCTTAGTGAGGGCCACCAACTTGGAAAATTATAAAAGGGGATTAGGGGATTAGGCTATTAATAGCTGCCAGTCATGATGGCCATATATTTCCTCTGTTATCAGACACAAGATACTATTTTGAATGTGTAGCTCCAGTGCTGAGATAAGAACATAGTAACAAGCTTGGCAAGACATCCTTCAACACTTATCATTTGTTGTGATTCCCTTTCCCTCTACACTTTAACTTTCTAGATCGCTTAAATGAAAGCCGTGTTTCTGATCCACTTCATTGACACCTTGTAGGTGGCAACATACTGATGTCTACTATATTCTATGAATGCAGCCACATAGCCCCCAACATTTCTCCAAAGAAAATAGGGACATCCTAAGGAAAAGTGGGACATTCCGGGATCAAATCAGAAACCAGGACAGCTTCTCTAAATCAGGGACGTCTCTGGAAGATAGGGACACTTGGAGGGTCTGACACTGTGCTGATCCTTCCAGAGCTGTGGTTGCCAAAATGGTGACTGTGGGACTTCCCATGGGGCCCAGAAAGGCTTTCTGCCCCTTCTGCACTCCCTGCCAACTATGCTGTCGCATGGCAAAAATTCCCTTCACTTGAGTAATAATAATAATAATAATAATAATAATAATAATAATAATAATAAATTTATTATTTGTACCCCGCCCATCTGGCTGGATTTCCCCAGCCACTCTGGGTGGCTTCCAACAAAGACCAAAAATACACTAAAATGATGGGAGGGTGTTCCACAGGGCAGGTGCCACTCCCGAGAAGGCCCTCTGCCTTGTTCCCTGTAGCTTTGCTTCTCACAATGAGGGAACTGCCAGAAGGCCCTTGGCGCTGGACCTCACTGTCCGGGCAGAATGATGGGGGTGGAGACGCCCTTTCAGGGATACTGGGTCGGGGATGTTTAGGGCTTTAAAGGTCAATGCCAACACTTTGAATTGTGCTCGGAAACATACTGAAAAACACATAAAGCTGAGAGAGGAAGAGTTTTGCTCTTTCACACTTCAGTTCTATGTGCTTTTCAAGGCTGAGATTGGCACCTGAAAGGTGGGTCATAAATTTAATCATCTTCATCACTGGCCCCTCTCCCTGGCACTCTCTTCCTGCTTACTTCTCTGGCACCTCTGGAATGAATGTATCCTTTTATAGATCTTGTTCATGTCTCCCCTTCCCCCTTTTCTCTCCTTTCGTTCTAAATTAAATGACCACGAATGTTGTGGTAAAAGATGCTAGGGCCCCCTGATCATTTTGGCAAATGGAAACGAGCATCCTCGCATGTGGGAAGTGTGTGGTGTCAGATTACATGATCGAGTAGGTGGATCAGCACATCAAAGGATCAGTACCCTAGGTCATAAATCTCATGAATTGGGACGGCAAACTGCATCAGCCATGCTGAGAGCATACTGCAGAATAATTGCCTATGTATATTACATGACAATGTCAGCGACATCATCCCAAATGCAGAGGAACATTTCCAATCTAGCTCTGAACAAATTTCAAAACCATTGTTCCCTTCTTAGCAATGGCAAAAAATGAATGTGAGCATTTGTTGGCTAGGTTTAGCTCAGCTCTATTTAAAAGTCATTTCCTGGAAATATTATGAATTTTCTTTCTGAAAATGTCTCCTGCTAAACATGGACAGCATAGAAAATATTTGCATTCTGCACTAAATCCCATGTTTGAAGAACTTGTGTTTTGCATTACTTCTCTTCTGGAGGAGCACACCCATGGCAGAAATCTCACTCTCCAGAGCCAGGCAGCTCTACAGGAGAGCTGGAAAGAAAATCCTCACAAGAGAACATAAGAAGAGCCTGCTAGGTCAGGCCAATGGTCCATCGAGTCCAGCATCCTGTTATCACGGTGGCCAACCAGATGTCTGTGGGAAACCATTAAATTATTCAAGCTCAAGAGCCCTCTCCCCTCCTGTGGTTTCCAGCACATTGCTGTCTCCCAACATGGAGGCAGAGCATAGCCAGCATGGCTAGTAGCCATCAATGGCCCTCTCCTCCATGATTTTGTCTAATGCGCTTTTAAAGAATGGTGTGCCATGCTTAAGTTTAGAGCAGGGTTGTTTATTTTTAAAAGTATTTTCCACTTAAAAAAACCTTTACAATCAGTGATAAAGACAGGTCAGAATGGAAATTGCAGCCTTCTCAGGGACACGGGTGGCGCTATGGGTTAAACCACAGAGCCTAGGACTTGCCGATCAGAAGGTCGGCGGTTCGAATCCCCGTGACGGGGTGAGCTCCCGTTGCTCAGTCCCTGCTCCGGCCAACCTAGCAGTTCGAAAACACATCAAAGTGCAAGTAGATAAACAGGTACCGTTCCGGCAGGAAGGTAAAAGGCATTTCCGTGCACTGCTCTGCTTCGCCAGAAGCAGCTTAGTCATGCTGGCCACATGACCCGGAAGCTGTACGCCGGCTCCCTCGGCCAATAAAGCGAGATGAGCGCTGCAACCCCAGAGTCAGCCACGACTGGACCTAATGGTCAGGGGTCCTTTTACCTTTACCTTTTATGTCCCTCGTGGGGGAGAAGTCTGCCTTGTTACAGATGCAGTAGGCTGAAATTCATCAGGTCTAGCAAGTGATAGGGAAATTGCTGCAATAAACATTTGGCTGGTCTTAGGTGAAGGAAAGGCACCATTTTGTCTTCCATCTCAGGCAGGAAGATGGTTTTGGGCTGGCCCTGCACGGTTTGAAAACTGCTCCTTGAATAATGGAACCATGAGGAGACATGTCACAGACTAAGGGAAGATATAGATCAGAGAAGTCCTTAAAAGGAAGTCTGCGCTGTTGTGCTTCTCAAAGAGTTTTTTCTTTGCCTGCACATGTGGAAGTGGCTTGGTGACGAGGAATCAGACCAGCTCAAATGGCCTCACTCCACTTTGAGTGTCAGGCATGGAGCCAGAAAGAAAGGGAGTCAATTCCATAGTTTGCTTTGCTCTGGAGGGTCTGTGGGCCTCCCATGAAATACCAGAAAACCTCCTGAGTCAGCAGCTCACTCCTACTCTTGGAATAGTCGAGATTCCCGGACGGATGCAGTAACTTGACTCTGCTTCTGGCTGAGGGCAGCCACCAGCTGATAAAAAAATCCCTGCCTGGACTATTAATAAAGCCTATTTTGGGTTCAGAAGAAACCAGCCTGACTGATGAATCCCCTTGGCTCAGAGGCTCCAAATGAGGGCTGCCGGGTTATTCTTTCTTTATTCAGTAGAAGCTGGAATGATGCTAATGGAGTATGTATGAGAGAGATGGAGAGAGAGAGAGAGAGAGAGAGAGAGAGAGAGAGAGCAGGGTCTGGTCCTGCTATCAGGTAACATGAGGCAGCTGCCTCAGGCAGCAAATTCTGAGGGCTGGAAAGCAGCTAGAAAGCAGTGCCATGTGTTCTGCCCTGCAGACCCTAAGTTAGCATGCCGCCTTAGCATGTATAACACACCGATGAGGCAACCTGAGGCAACTGCTTTAGGTGGCATGACTAGGACATGGGCCTGGATCTGTTGGTTAGGAGCACTGGTAGTACAGCTGGCCTCAGGGACCAAAAGGTCTCAGGGTGGCCCTGGTGGCGATGGGTGGACTACAGCAAAGCTGAGGCAAAGGCCCTTGGAAAACTGAGTCTACTCTCTTTCAGCCAGGCAACCTAGCTCAGCCAAAGAATTCTCCCTAGCAACAGTACAGTACCTCTGCGCTGAGATTGTGTTGCATTTATAGCAGTAAGTCACCTCATATGCTTTGTAGGAAAGTGGCATATAAGTTCAACATCATCATCAGCTTCATAACAGCAACAGCAGGCATTGCCAAGCACTTAAAGCAGATTTGGTTCAATGTGACGTCATTGCTACAGAACGGCTCAGTCCTGGACTATGGTTCTTAAAGTTATTAATGGCATGTTCAGTTAAACCAATGAGAATATCATCAGTGTGCATGAGGAGTTCACAATCTAAATTTTGGTACAAGTTGCTCCTAGTATATACACTAGCATTGCTCTAGTACTTTATAAAGACCTTCTCTTAGAATGCACTGCCTTGCTTTGCAGAGGAATCAGGACCTTGGTTGCAATAAATCTTGAATCTCTTTGACCATTCCCTTCTGCACCATCATCTGATATGGAATACCTGGTCTCATGCATAATATTGCCAGCTAAAGAGGAAATTATGAAAAACCTCCAGTAATGTAATGAACTCACAACTCATAAAGGTTCTGGTGTCCTTAATAGCTGTTGGGCAGGCAGAAGCTCAGCAGGTTAAGACCTGGAAATACAACAAAAAAAGATACAAATTTGCATACTTCTGCATATGCATGCAAATCTTATGCACATTTGTGCCTTTGGTTGTGGGTGAGGCAGAGGACTTAATACACACATATCAGACCGAGGAAATCCTGTTGGCAGCCTTGTAGCCACTTATGTAGCAAGGGTAGATGGGTAGCACAAAAATCTAGAGCTCAGGAACATAGCTGTCAAGTGTCCCTTATTTGAAGGGACAGTCCCTTATTCCAGCGCCATGTCCTGCTGCTGTCCCTTATTGATGGATGTCCCTTAAATGTCCCTTAAATGATGTCCCTTAAATTTCAAAGGAAGCATCTCCTCTCCCTCCCTCCCTCCCTGCCGGCCAGGGAGGAGGGAGGCTCCAACTGTGTTGCTTGGCTGTGTTGCTCACCCAATAAGAAGTCTAAGAATGACTGGGGGGTGGAGCTTGCATGCCTTGTGTGTGGCTAGTTAATGCAAGCTGAGGGGATTTTTGAATGCTGGATGCCATTTTCTTGCACGTGCTGCTGCAAACTTTGCAGTGCAAAGCCAGGCCGGGGAGCCATCTTAAGTTGAGGCTGCATAGGCCTTGTGGTGCATGTGATTCAGATTCTATTCAGTTGAACCTCTGGTTACAAAGTTGGTTGGACAGTGTTCTCGAAGCTACCAGCATGAGTTTGACCAGACTGCAGGAGGACAGGAAGACTGGAGTGCCTGGAACAGGTGAGGCTGCAGGCCCCTTATTTTGGCTGCTGGTCCCTTATTTTCAAATCTGTAAGTTGACAGCTATGCTCAGGAATCCTAGGACATAGTAATTGAATACTTTACCAGCAAAAAAGAAAAAAGAAAAAGGTCCATATGAACTCTTATATTGTCATTGTATAGAAACTAAATGAATTCCATTAGTGTTCAAATGCCTTTTTCTTTTGTCTTCCCTCTCACACAGCTAAATGAATTTATTAAGCTTATCTACCCACTGGGGGATTTCTTTTCTTCTGAAGGAATCTTTGCCTAAGACTTCTGCTGCTCCTTATTCTCACTTGAGTGGAGGTGGAATCTGTTGTGACTGAGACATTACTTGTTAGGCAAGTGTTTTTATCTAGAAGGAAAAGGGTAGCAGCCCCCATGCTGGTAAGCACCCGTCACACAAATGAAGTGCGACCTCTGTGCTCCTGCCAGTTTTCCATTGCAGCCTTGCATGAGACCACACTTGGATGACCCTCGAGGTAAGCATGACTGGAAGAACAAGCAGTCGTTTCTTCTGCCGCTTCCCCAAGAAGTGGGAGTTGATTACAGCCACTCAGCCTTGGATATGAAGAATGTGTGCTATAAAACAAGGATTTCCAACAGTTATCTGATGCTTGCAGGTATCTCAATTTGTTCTTCCTTAGGAGGAAGCCTTTGTTCCATCTTCATCCACAATAAGTAACAAAGAGGGTCAAACTATATGTTACACTTACAGTGTAGCATGTAGCTACATATCCTTCATTTTAGGCACATAACTTTACAGCGAAGGGAGGTAGTGGCAGAAAAGGCTTGTCTCTTTTCTTCCTACTGCAGTCAAAGCTAAACTCACTGTCCGTGGACAGCTGCAATACGGGGGGGGGGGGGGCAAATGTCTTACTGACACCAATCAGAAGTTTTTTTCCTAAACATGAAAGCCACACAAAGGGAAAATGTTGGCTCTGACTGTGTCAGGGAGGGAAAAGTCTCCCTTCCCCATGTGATTTTTTTTTTTTTTTTTTTTTTTTTTTTTTTTTGCTGTTTCTTGCAAAGGAAATGAGATGGAGATATAGGCCACTTCCAAACAACCTGCTTATTGAGCATTCCTCCTCATTTGTTTTCAGGGAGGTTAGACTATCAGCTTGTCCATGCTGGAGCAAAATGTAGCACTGTGGCTCTAAAACGTGACTAATCCTAGCCTATTGACTAACATTACGGTATTTGCAGTCTATTTATGAGTAGGCAGCAAGGATGGTCAGCTTTTGGGAGCCATACATAGGAAAATCTGGCCTGCACACTTTCTGGTTTTCTTTAAGGGGGGCCATGCACACCTGCTCACACCCCCATATTGGAAAAAGGCCGTGGAGAGCAGAGGAGGAGCGTCTGAGAGGAAAACATTGTCCAAATGCATTCCACAAAGCTCCACCTACGGCTGTGGCTGGCAAGCAGCAGTGGAACAGCAACAAGATGGAAATGTGCCCAATTTCCACACAGACAAAATCATTTCCTTATGACCTGAGTGTGGAAGCAGGCTTGGTCTGCCTTTTAGATGTGTAACTGCAGTTTTCTGACTTGACATTAATTCCAACATCTTTATCATAAGGTTTTAATCATACATTTTGAAATCAGCTAATAGGAGCTGAAAAAGTATCTGTGGAGGAGTTGGGGAAACCAGGCAACAAGCTCAAGAGTCACATTTTTAGGACTCTAAAAATAGAGAAATCAAACAATGATGAGGGGAATAAAAATATACAAGTGAACAGCTGTAATTGAACACCAGTTGTTACATTAATATTTTTTTTGTGTGGAATCTGGTTGGCTCAGGCCACTGTTTAATCTAAAAGATCCTTAGGAATGGAAGTCTTTTTCAGGCCAATTTGACTTGGCTGGGAAGGTCTGGAATGTGCTCTTCCCCACACCCCTCCTGCTTAAGCAAGCGGACTGCGGCACAGAGCCTGATCCCTCTGTCTCCTTCTATTGTTGCCATGTGCCGCCAGCTTCTCTTTTAGCACATTTGCTTGCTTGAGATGGAAGTGGAAACAGAGGAACAAAATAGCCAAAGCCTCTCTCTCTTGAGAATGCAAGACACATTTGCCATAAGGAGGAATCCATGTAAGGGCTGGGCCAGGAGGGGGTGAGCCCATCACAACAATGCCTTACATTCACATTTGAGTGCTAAATGTATTCCAAATGCCAGAAGGGGGGGGGGGCATCTTGCGATTTTTGGCTTTTGCTTCTAATTGGCCTTTCTTTTTTCTGGATACAGAGAAAAGCACATCAAGTATGTGTCTTTTAATATTCACCATTGTTGTTTAGTCGTGTCCGGCTCTTCATGACCCCATGGACCAGAGCATGCCAGGCACTCCTGTCTTCCACTGCCTCCCGCAATTTGGTCAAACTCATGCTGGCAGCTTCGAGAACACTGTCCAACCACCTCGTCCTCTTTCATCCCCTTCTCCTTGTGCCCTCCATCTTTCCCAACATCAGGGTCTTTTCCAGGGAGTCTTCTCTTCTCATGAGGTAACCAAAGTATTGGAGCCTCAGCTTCAGGATCTGTCCTTCCAGTGAGCACTCAGGGCTGATTTCCTTAAGAATGGATAGGTTTGATCTTCTTGCAGTCCATGGGACTCTCAAGAGTCTCCTCCAGCACCATAATTCAAAAGCATCAATTCTTCGACGACCAGCCGTCTTTATGGTCCAGCTCTCACTTCCATACATCACTGCTGGGAAAACCATAGCTTTAACTATACGGGCCTTTGTTGGCAAGGTGATGTCTCTAGGTATGTTCTCCTTGTTTTCCCATGACTCCTCCTCTGTTCTTATGACCTCCCATTTCAAGTGTGTCTCTGAAAGTGCTGTCGGTGCTGTCTCCCTCCCTCTACCATTGGTGTGCATGTGTGAAAGGCAGAAATGCAGTTTAAAATGCGTTTGTATCCAGTCTTTAAATCCTATCAGTGACCATACAGGAAAGTGGATTTACAATCAAAATTTTCAGCTGTCTTGCATTTTTTGTATCAACTGTGGGAATGGCCTCTTGCATCTCAGCAGTTAGGACATTCTACAGCACTTGTGAAAAAGCTCACCTCTGTGCTACCACAAGCCAATCGTCTTCAGGCCATGGCAAGACTAAGCAGGTTCCATCAACACAGACCTGATTCTGGTGCAGTGCATGGCATTAGCAACATTTTAACCTGGGAAAGAATAATTTGTGAACAGGGGAAATGTTCATATACTGAAGCAAGAGAAGATTCACAAGTGATAAGTAACACATTTTAGAATGCACGTGAGATGTCTGCCCTCATTTTCTAACTCAGTGGGATCAAAACAACACACTCATGACTGCCTTGGAAATCTAGGTACTGATCTTTATCTGACTCTGAAGTGAAGATTTCCAATTTCCCCCCCCCAAAAAAAAAAAAAAATTTGATGTAAAACAAAGCTTACCTGAAAGGGGATCTGGAGCTGTACTCTAAAATCCTGATTATGGAAAATGAATGGGGACTGGTGTGTTAAAAATAGAACATTATTTTCCTCTGATACCTGTACAATTGAATCTGTGGGATTTGTTTAACACTGCTCGACAACTGGAGGCTATGAAAATTTGTTCCATCTATATGCAATATTTTTTAATTGTGGCATATGATGGATACACAGTAGCTGAACAGAAGAATATCAGTTTCCACTAGCAATGCACCCCGTCAGAGAGCTGTGAGGTTGATCCCAAACTGTACAATAAAGCATTTCTATATTGCCTGAGCCTGAGATGGTGCTTCTTGCTCTCTGCTATTTGGTACATTTCATTCAAAGCTTGCAAGATAATTGCATCTGCTTTGCTGTTTCAGTCTGAAAATGAGGGTAGGGGAAGAGTTACTGCAGCTACAGATGTGGTATTGCTTTTCTTCTAACCATTCAGCAGAGAGAGAGAGAGAGAGAGAGAGAGAGAGAGAGAGAGAGAATGAATCCAAAAAGCCTGGTTGTTATGGCAACAGCATCTCTGAAACTGATCTTGTGTCGTGGGCGGCGGCAACTTCCTAGCTGAGAAGATGAACTGAAGCCTAGTGACTATATTAGGTGCTGTTGTCAGAAGTCTATTGGTGAAGGAGATAACTCATTCAGTTTCACAGAGTTTGCTGAATTAGTTCAAAACTGTCTGAACTGTGGGAATTGGACTCTCATTCCCATTTGCAGAGGATGAAGAAGATAGGCCTGGGTCGTTTGATCCTTTAATTAGTTCTCTTTTCCCCCTCCTATAAAAAACTATGCAAGACATTCTCTTTTAAAGTTTAAAGAACAAACACTATTTTCTTAGTGTATTTGCAGTTGCCGATTAAAATATATACAATGCAGGTGAATGTTTCTTAAATTGCTAATGCGTCCTACATAGGCTAACTCTGAGGCAGACAGCAGCACAACACATCTGCTGCTCTATTAAGACTGTTCTACTAACTGCCATAACTATACCGACTGAAAATAACTGCCACAGAGTGTATGACGTCATAGAGCTCTACAGCACTTGCAATTAATCTTTTACATATGCATGAACTACACCTGAAAGGAGAGAGAGAGAGGGAGAGAGATGGATCTATTATTTTCAAATTTTCAGGTTCTGTGGGGGGAAATGGTGCAGTTAGGTAATTTTATACTTTATTGTCTTATGTTGAGGACTCTTCAGATGGTGTAAAGCATGGGTAGGCAAACTAAGGCCCAGGGGCCGGATCCGGCCCAATCGCCTTCTAAATCCGGCCGGCAGACGGTCCAGGAATCAGCATGTTTTCACATGAGTAGAATGTGCCCTTTTATTTAAAATGCATCTCTGGGATATTTGTGGGGCATAGGAATTTGTTCATTCACCCCCAAAAAAAAATTCCCCCCCCCCCAGGTCTGAGGGACAGTGGACCAGCCCCCTGCTGAAAAAGTTTGCTGACCCCTGGTGTAAAGGAACAGCACTTCCGCTTTTGCCAAAACTGCCTTAGGTGTCAAGCCAGGTGTAAATGCATTTGATAGTCTACCACCACCTCCCCTTTAGCGCAAGGCAGAGAGGAGTTTCTAGGTCTATAAGCCAGGATTCTTTTGCCTGGGAGGAGGGAGCAACCCCAAACACCTCCCCATCTCCACAAAAGCAGCACAGCTTGCTTTTCTCGTGAATCCCTTTAGGCTCTGCGGGTAGCCTGAAGCCGACAGATCTAGGCACATGGGAGGAACATAGTCGCTTGAGCCTGTCGCAGAACACAATCTCAAGCCAAGACAAAGCCAAATTAGAGGAATGCTATTAAGAATAAGACTAAGGGGCACAAAGAAGAAAAACAGATTGGTACTACAAGAAAAGCAAATGTTAAGAATCTAGCTAGCCAGTGGAAGACTAGCTGTGAACATAAGAACATAGGATCTAGTCCAAAATCCTGTTCTCACAGTGGCCAACCAGTTGCCTATGGGAAACCTACAAGCAGGCACAGGGCACAAGAGGACTCTTCCGTTCCTGTGGTTTCCAGTAACTGACATTCAGAAGCATTACTGCATCCGAACATGGAGGCAGAGCATAGCTATCAGCCATTGATAGCCTTATCTTCCGTGAATTTTTCAGATTTCCCCCTTGTCCTTAAATGTAAGTGAAGTTTTCTCTCTCCATAATTAACCATAACTCTTCATCTGTGTGGTGGACATGCAGCTTAATCAAACCTTTCTGGAAAAATGTTTTCACAGAAAACAGCTCAGTAATTCAGCGAACTATGCTAGGTACTCCACAGCTTGCTTTTATTAATGATTTTTCACGGAGACTAGAAAGATCTTCAACACAAGGAACTGTTCGCCTTCCTCTTGCTGGCAGTGAGACAACTCATAGCCCCCAACTGGAAAGATCTGACCAATTTACAAATTCACAACTGGGGGCAGAAAGTGTGGACAGTCACATTGATGGAGAAACTTAGGAAACAGGTGAGAACATTTAAAGGACAAGTCAGATGAAAACTTTATTGAAACCGGATGTCCGCTTATAACAGACATGAAGAAATATATTGGCATCCACTGCCTGACACATCTACAACTATGAAGCAATGTATTTCATCAAACTTATGTTCAGCTGTGGGGAGAGACATATAATTTTTGTGTGTGTGTTTTGTGTATATTGATGCTGGAATATCAAAATCAAAACATTTCTTTTTATAAAAAAAATAATCCATTTGTCATGCATTTGTCATCCACATTATCCCTATGCAGTGCCTGATGCCATCGCTGTGACATGATGCTGCTATTAATACTGTGCAACCTGGGAATCTAGAGAGGACTGACATCTCTTGCTCTTCCCTGGCAACTGGCAAGAATAGCATCTCTGTATACCTTTTCTGAATTTTGCATCTGGTCTAACACTTGGCCCAGATTTATTCTTAGTGAAATTTAGCACAGTGCTGCAGTTGTTTTGAAATCTTTGGAACAAAATGACATTACACATAACCACTTTTTGATGTGAAGAGTTATAATTGTGAGGACTCGTCCACACACCCCGCTCCTTCCCCCTCTAGGAAACCAGCTTTTTAGCGTCAGTGGGGTTTTCTACAGATTGCCATTTGCTCCAATTCAGCACTAAAGAGTGGGTTTTCCCAGGGAAAGAAGCAAGGCAAATGGAGACAAGTGGAAGTGTGGATAATCCCTAAGCAAAGGAAAATGACACTTGTTGTTGTTTAGTTGTTTAGTCGTGTCCGACTCTTCATGACCCCATGGACCAGAGCACGCCAGACACTCCTGTCTTCCACTGCCTCCCGCAGTTTGGTCAAACTCATGTTGGTAGCTTCGAGAACACTGTCCAACCATCTTGTCCTCTGTCGTCCCCTTCTCCTTGTGCCCTCAATCTTCCCCAACATCAGGGTCTTTTCCAGGGAGTCTTCTCTTCTCATGAGGTGGCCACAGTATTGGAGCCTCAGCTTCGGGATCTGTCCTTCCAGTGAGCACTCAGGGCTGATTTCCTTAAGAATGGATAGGTTTGATCTTCTTGCAGTCCATGGGACTCTCAAGAGTCTCCTCCAGCACCATAATTCAAATGACACTAGAAAATGGCAAATGAAGAAAATGACATTAGTAGAGACTTAGGCTGCACACCATACATTGAAAGCACATGACTTCCCCCAAAGTATCCTGAGAACTGCACTTTCCTGGGAACTGTAGCTTAGTTGAAGTTCTCAGGATCCTTGGGGCAGGCGCCATGTGCTTCAAATGTGCTTTAAATGTACAGTGTGTCCGTGGCCTTAAACTGGGGTATCCATGTTTCTTGCATATACTGTAATGAGATTTTCTTGGCTTCATGCAGTTGAGATGTCTTGGTAACCCACACAGCAAGAGATTAATTCTGCAGGAGAGGCCCTTCCCTTAGCACTTCTTTATATGTTTTCTTTTCTACCCCAGAGCAATTTTGCTTCATGGCTTCTGAGACAACTGAGAAGGGCTGTTAACAAAAAGGAGCCCTATTAGCCAAGACACCCTCCTGGAGGTGTTTGGGAAGAGATATTAAGCTGCTGTCGAAACCAAGCACTGATCCCAGAAGCCAGGGTTGATTCTGCCTGACATCTGTTTTCTTTCAAGATACTGCCATGCATATTAGATTCCATCAAAAGCCATTTTGCCACCTAGTTGTGCCATTTCCTGGGACGCATGTTGCTGGAGGGGGTCTCTGGGGTCTGTCCAGTGGAGATGACCGCAATCACCACCCCAGAGGTTCTGGAGAGAGGAACTGGTCATAGCAGAGAGCACCAGAAGGTCTGCTTTATCTCCATCAATACACCCACTTGTCCGCCACCTTCTTCTGTGTAAGCCAGCATTATTTTCAATGTTCACCCGGTGGCACTAATGACCCTACAATCAAAACCCATGGAGCAGAAATATCCATAATGAATTAGTCCCTAATATCACAATGACTCATGTAAACATAAAGTTGCATCCATTAGACTCAGAGTAGACTCGCTGAAATCAGTGGACCTCAGTTAGTCATGTTCATTAGCTCCAATGGGTCTACTCTGAGCAGGACCAGCATCAGTTACAACTCATAAAAAATAAAATGTTGAGAAAATCCAAATATTAGATTCAGAATATAGGTCATAATCTAGAGAACCGAGTGATTCATTCCATATATGCACCCGGAGGTGCCTTTGGCACTTCTTTTCCACAGCAATGTGCTTGTCCTGCTTTCAAGTTACTTTTGAAGTATGGGTGAAATTCAAAAGTGGCACAAAGGAAGCCATTCAAAGGGTGAAAGCCTTGGCAGATCTAACAGGCACGTTGAATTGTGGCCATGGTGGTCCAACAAGCACCGAGATTTCAGAATACTGACTTCATAAATGTAAAGAAGCAAATGGAGTATTGCAAACTCTTAAATTCTGTGAGTGTGATCCAGTGGGTGGACATTGGATGGGTTGTAAACACACAGGCTGAAATCTTTGCTTTGCAGTGGACTTCCTGGATAGTCTTTCAGCCTCTGCTCCCCATTATCTTAAAATTAACAGAACTGATGGAAAGACAATCAAGCTAATGTAAAGTACCTTGCAAATTAAAAATTCCATGTACCTAATGTTTGTGCTGAGGCACATAATCAGTCCTGGAGAGGGCATTTAGATCAGCTTTTTCACAACAGGTGAAGCACAGTCTGTGGACAGTCATGGGTGCAAGCGGGCATGAATGCAGGGATTGATGTTCTGAACCGTAGGCCTAGCGGAGGAGAGTGGTTGGGCATGGGTATACCAAGGAAGGATGCCAACAATGCCAGAGTGATCAGTTCTAGTGCTTTGTTAAAGAAAGGTGTGGACTTATAGTCTGCCAGGTCTCCTAGCCATTACACATGTGGGAAGGACACCGCAGCAAGGAGATGGCTTGTCTGCACCCAAGCAAACATTCATATGTTCTTTCTACACAAAGCAGCATGTGCCACTTTGTCTAGGATTTCCCATCACTTCACCTGCCCAGATGAGGGCATAGATGGCAAATGCCCAAATCTTACAGATAGTTCCCCTTTCTGGGCTCAGAGCTGAGCACCCCAAGCCCACAGATAAGGATAGCATCAAAGCATGCCAATTAGCCAATATCAATGCAAGTGAATATAAACATATATGAGCTCATTGCTACAACAACTACCAGTTAATTGTGGGGTCCTCTGGACTACCAAGATGGCGTTTGCAGAGCTTCTGGAACAGTTCACCTTTGGTTCAACACAGTGGACCAGAACGGCTGGATAAGATTTCAAAAGTTAGGGGCATTTTGAAAACAGAGAAATTTCCATGGGTGTGTGAAGTAAGGGGGGGGGAGTGACAGCTAGTAACAGTCTAAAAACAATTTATTTCAAAAAATAATAATATGACAACTCAAATAAACAATTTATCACCATCATCATCACAATCATCAAAATTGAGGACTGGCCACGTATAGTAGTCAATTTATTTGTGGCAGGGGAAAAAAAGGGAAACCATATCTATCATCTATCTATCATCTATCTATCTATCATCTATCTATCTATCTATCTATCTATCTATCTATCTATCTATCTAT